GTGTGTGTGTGTGTGTGTGTGTGTGTGTGTGTGTGTGTCTCAGACAGATGGGAGAGCATGCGCACCAAAGGTGTTGTTCTTCAGGCACCTTCCACCTGCCTGGCTTTCAGTGAGGATTCTCAGGATCCCACTTGTGTCTTCATGCATTTGAGCATGGCACTTTGGTGGCTGAGCCATCTCCCCTTCACCATATGTGCTGCTAGGGCTCCTATGAGATCAGTGCTTTCCGTGAACAAAATAATAGGGAAATAGTCTGGCTCTTGGTGTGAAGACCCCTAAGGAACTGAGATACACAGTGTACCCCACTCAGTGTCAGGGTGATAGGAACGAGAGACTGGTACCTACCAGTAATGTCTTCCGTCACTGCCTTATCCAATTGCAGATTAAATTCACCTCCGTTAAGGAATCTTGAGATAGTCTTTTAAAACACTTAAGAGACTTAATCTTCTGTGAAATAAAGAGATTGGAAAAGTAGTGGTTTTCAGTCCTACTAAACGCTAGAGTCTTCTGAGGAGCGAAGTATACGTAGCGGACTCATGCCCCTCTCATGCCCATTGCAGACTACATGACTAAGAGTCTCCAGAGATTGGAGGCGGGCTTGGCTGAAGCTGAAAATGAGTTACTAATTTCCAAAGGCATTTTGAACTTGGTCATTCATTCACCTGTTAATTAAAATTAGGGAGTTCTAATAATTCTGGCCTTTTAGTCGTGCCATTTAGTTACATCTGGTGATAGTGGTTACTGTGTGCGCTGTATATGCTCTGGGTCTCTTGTGACCCATAATAATTCAAACCCAGACTGAGTGGCCTTTAACACATTTTAATCAAAACATTCTAATTCAAGGTCAGCTTGAACCATACAAGGACTCCACACCATCCAGTTAAAAATCCATCGTTACTGGGCAGTGTGACATGTGCCTGCTGTCTCCCATATTCAAGAGGCTGAAGCGGGAGGAGGACTTCAACACGGGCTTTTGGGGCCAAGTTGGGCAGCATAACAAGATTCCATCCTAAATAAAGATAAAAAATAATAAAAACCCTGTTTGGGGGCTGGGGATGATCACCTAATATGTAGGAAGCCCTAGAAGTCGCTAGTACATCGACATCAACTAGATGTAGCAACCCATTTATCTAATCCAGCACACTGGAAGTAGGGGCAGGGCTAGCCTGGGAAGATTAAGGCCTTGTCTCAAACAAAACAAACAAAAAAGCCCAAACCAAAAAACGATCTTACACAGTAGTACAGACAGACACTTGTGTCTGTTAGTATTCTACTGCTGTGGAGAGACACCATGACCATAACAAATTATAAAGGGAAGCATTTCACCAGGGACTTAATGTGGCGTCTGCCCCACAACTAAGTTGTGAGTATCGGGCGAAAGCCTGGAGATTTTAGTGGAGCCGTCGGGTCTCTTGCACTAAGAGAATGTGTGTGCATCTGTCTTTTTTGCGGGGAGAGAGCAGCCTTCTATCTATACACTTACAGCACAGTGGAGAAACCCCAGGTATAAGAGCCCGTGTTTTCCTCGCACTACATGGTGATACCAGTGGGGCAAGACTCAGGGCTGTAAGCCAGGACTAGAGAACAGGATGCTCCTGTGGTTATCAACTCATGGAGACCCCGTGGGGACTGGGGCCTAACATCTCTCCCAACAGCTTAATCCCTGATCATTATGGCAGGAAGCACAGCAACAGGCAGGGAGGCGTAGTGCTGGGCAGTAGGGTAGGTGAGAACTTCCGTCCTCACCAGCAAGGTGGGGGCAGAGAGAGACCTCAGCCCACTCCTAGGGACACCTCCTCCAACAAGGCCACACCTCCTAATCCTTCCTGAGCAGTCCATCAACTAGGAACCTAGTATTCAAATATGTCTATGGGGGTCACTCGTTTTTAAAGCACCACCAAATCTGGCTCTCTAAAGTTCATGTTTTAGAGAGAGGGCACCTATATGTTCGAATAGAAAGGTTTTTTGTTTTGTTTTGTTTGGGGGGGGTGAGGGGGTGGCTCAAGATGAGGGTTTCTGTGTCTGTAGTCCTGGCTGTTGTGGAACTTTGTAGAGACCAGGCTGGCCTTGAACTCACAGAGATCCGCCTGCCTCTGCATCCCAGGTGCTGGAATTAAAGGTGTGCGCCACCAATGCTCATTTTTTTTTTTTTTTTTTAAGTCATCTTCTCAAGGGAAGCCTTGGTTTGGGGTCTTTGGAGAGTGATTCTGTACCTTCGGGCCAGAAAACCTTTCTGAACCTGTATTGTTAAAATGGCTGACATGCAAAAGTCGCTTTCTTCATGCCCTTGACACTCTTTGAAATGCTAATATAGCTGTCTCAAATAACTTGTGACTGGTAATTGTGGGGGTTCTGTAAATCACATTGTTATGTACTGACCTTAAATAAGAATTTCCCTGCCCCCCACCCCAGTGTTTTGGAGTCTTTGAGGGGTGATTAGTTTGGAAGACAATGAGATGAGCCCTTTGATAGGATTAGCATCCTTTTAAGACCTCAGAACCACCATCACCACCCCTTTCCCACTTGTTTTTTAACTTCTCATGTTCTAAAACCAGGAGAATACATCTCCAGTTTAAGCCAGCGTACATTATCAGAGTGGGGGGGGTAAACCCCCTACCCTGCTTTCATGCTGGGTTTTGTTGTTGTTGTTGTTTGTTTGTTTTCCACACACTCTGCTTTCCTTGCTGACCAGGAGTTAGTGATCTTCCTGCTTTAGCCCCCTGAGAGCTACCATTGTAGATCTGTACCACCGTGCTAGGTGTAAAGTCAGTCTCTGCTGGAATCTGATTTAAAAAAAAAAACTTCATATCAAACATTATCTTTTTCTTAACTTTTTCTTATCAAATCCTTGACCTTTTTCTTTTTCTGCCAAAGAATTTATGGATTTAAATGACTGAATTTTCTCCTTAGCTAAAGTTTGTTGGCGTAAGGGGGTGAGTGTGTGTCTGTGTCTCATGTTGCCCAAGCAGTCATTGCCACACACTGTCCATGCACTGTGTTTGTGCGCGCATGCCTGTGTGTGTGTGTGTGTGTGTGTGTGTGTGTGTGTGTGTGTGATAAGCACTCTCCCAACTCCCCAGCTTTTCTCTCTTAGCAAAGTTTAGCGGGATAGTTACTTTCAGTCTCTATTTCACTTACAAAGGATAAAAGTTCCCTATTCTTTTGTGAAAAGTGTCAGATCTTATTGCACTGTCTCTGTGTTCTAAAGAACTAACATTTGTGTGTGCAATTGGTATCACATTTTTAATGAGCGGCATTTGTGACATTGTGCTCTTGGGTGTGTTTCTTGTTTCTAAAATATATTAATAAGGAAAATCTGATTAATTTGGCAGCCGTGGGGCCAATTTTATAACTCAGATTTTGCTGAGACCAGGAGCGTCGGACTTAACAGGAAGCTTCAGGTAGTGTTTCTTTTATATCTGGAACTTTTCCCTTGATTCCTTGTGTTAAGAAGTCAGGTGGTGGTGGCACCCGGCTTTAATCCCAGCGCTGGAGAGGCAGAAGCAGGCGGATCTCTGAGTTCCAGGCCAGCCTTGGTCTACAGAGCAAGTTCCAGGACAGGCTCTAAAGCTACAGAGAAACCCTGTTGGGATGTGGGGTGCTAAAAAGAAATTGAAGTTCCCTACCTACCGTCTAGAAACTGTATCTCCTGCTGCTTGGATTTCCTAAACAAAAGGGTTAGATTCCCCACACATCTTCTCCACCTGACTTTATAAACTGAGTGTGCCATATGCTTGAGTGGCAGGGTATACTTGCCTACCACAAGAAGTGCTTGTGACCTGGATTGTCCCGTGATGCCTAGTCCTAGTCTAACCTAGCTCACCCATAGTATTAATAATACAGTTGTTCCTGGGTGACCTGATTGTCCTCAGGTCCTTGACCTATATTGGCAAGCAGATGCCTGTTAACTCCTGGGCTGTTTGTCACCTTGGTGTGTCATTACTTCATCTGTCAGTTCTGCCATCCCACCATGTCCAGTTCAAAGGCTGATGTTAAAGCAGAAGTACAGGTAGCTAATTTACCACATTTTCATAATTTCTAGTAGTATAAATCTCAAGAAGACACTAAGAATTCATTTTCATAAGTATTCCAAGTTCTTAGCAGGTACTTCTTGTCCAATACACATGATCACAAGTTCTGATAACTTGTCTATACACCTGGGACTACTGAGTTTTAGATTATAGATACAAGTGAGTTCTGGGAGTTCGGGATCTGTATGACAGGTACATGTCCAGATGTTCATAAATACTTTTTTTCTTACAGATTATACCGAAAAGAAGTTCTGCAAAAATTAATAGAAAAATGTGTCTCCAAAGGCTATGTCTTTCAGATGGAGATGATTGTTCGAGCAAGACAGTTGAATTACACCATTGGTGAGGTGAGCGACTGTTGCTAAGTTCTGTGTGCTCCTCCCCAGAAATAGAGGTTTGCAAAAGCACCGTTTTCCTAACTGCTGAGTTAGCAGGTCTTAGACTTCTAGTTATTTGGAGTGTCCATACACTACCTCGTGAACGTTGAGATGACTGTATTTGACCTACTGTGATTTATGCCAAGGCGTGTTTCCTTGTATATAATGAAGTTTCTGGTACCTCAAAGTTCTGTCTTCTGAATAGTCAGCTTTGCAATGTGAGCTCCTGGGCTGCTTTTCTTGTTAATGTTCAGGGTTAGAGTGCACAGGCTGGAGGCAGGGTTTCAGGCTGTGTGGTGGTTTTTAGAGATGAACCCACATCTCATACCAAACCCTTACTTATAGCAAGAAAATACCTACCCCCTGCCAGAATGCCTCTTCCCTTGTGAACATTAGAAAATTTGTGAATTCCACCATGATCCTTAAATGTATCACACAGAAGAGAGAAAAAGAATGAAAAGCCATTTAACTTTAAAGTGTGGTTTCTCTGGAAATACAACCTGAAATTTGAATGGACTAACATAATATTTGGTGTCAGTACTTGTCAGGCAGCTCTAGCTTTGAGTCAGATGACATCATTTCCGATAGGGAACATGGAAAAGGACAGTTCTGTGAAGACCCATGAATGTCAGTGTACATTAAGACTGATGCTGCAGGTTGAGACTTTGCTCTTGTATTGGGAACACTGTAGTCCTACCTTGCCATCGTCATTGTTTGAAGACTGACTTTACTATGTATGTATTTTTTAACCAGGTTCCAATATCATTTGTGGATCGAGTTTATGGTGAATCCAAGTTGGGAGGAAATGAAATAGTCTCTTTCCTGAAAGGATTATTGACTCTCTTTGCTACTACATAAAAGAAATTACTCATTTATACTTACCATGTTCATTTCAATTAAAAGTAAGAGAAGCCTGGGTCACTGATTTTTGTCAATGCTCTCTTGATACATGAGCCAAAGGTAAGGTGCATTTCATACTGGTCATTTCTCTGGAGAAACTCCATTTTATATTTCAAACTAAAATTTAAAGTTAGGTTTAATAAGCAATGTTCTCGATTTTTATGTACATTGTGCTGTATTAAGACCTATAAATAAATGTATATAGGTTTGTGTAAAATGTTGCTGCTTTCATTAGATATGTTGGTTCGGAGTTTCTTATGAGAAAGAATATGAAATATTCCATAAAAGTAGATTGTTAGTCCTTTATACCTAGATGTTAGAAAGGGAAAGTTAATTACCTTTACAAAACACAGTTCATGTGTGAACTGAAAAGGAAAGAAAACCTCAGATTTCTGAACCTAGATAAAGTAGCGTTCTCTTGCCTGGTGAGAATGCTTGTCCACTGACACAAACAGTGCAAAATATGCGTTGTGAGGTGGAAAAGAGTTTGGCAGTAGCTGACACATAGCTGCTGTTTTTTTTTTTTTTTTCTTTTGAGCACTAACTTCTGTTGGAAAGAACAGTATTTTATCTCAAAAACTTTTTACATTATTCCAATACCTCAACAAACTTGTCACCATGACAAAAATGTATATACTATTTTTCTCCATCCAGAAAATTGTCCTGCTTGTTAAAATGAAGAATAAGTTGCTCCATGCAGCTGGGGCAAATACTCCATTTACCAACCTTCTCTAACACTTAAAAGTCAGTGAATTTCTATCTGTAGCGTAGCTTTCGGGTCATTAACATGTTTTAGGTTTTGAGTAAATACATGATCTACTTGCCTGTCCCTTGCAAGAAAAGAGGCAGCATCTGCCTCTAGGTGACATGATAATCACATTTAGCAGAGTCCTTGTATCATAGAGCTCAAGCTGACTTCCAGCTTCCTCTGCAGTAGCTGGTCTTGAATTGCTGGTCCTCCAGCCCTCACCTCACGTGGTGGGACTGTGGTTGTGTGCCATCACTTAGACACACAACCTGGGTATCTGCTTTCCCACTTTGGCTGCTAAAGAAATTGAAAGTCTTAAATTTTTGTTTCCATCTTTCTGGCTGATTGTAACAGGAATGAACATTGATTAAAGCCTTCACTCCCAAGTCGTCCAATAGCTGGATCCATAAAGAGTGTTACTATGTCCCCTTTGCCAAAACCTTTGGAGTGCCAATGGGGAAGTGACATCTTCATCCTTTGGATGGAATAACTAGAAATTCTATTGGTGTCCAATTAAAAAAATTAAGCCGAAGTCATAGGATTATAATAGTCTCAAATTTTTTTTGACTGCCGAAGAGTCAAATGCTGGGTTTCTCTTGAAACCCAGCATTAAGTTTTCAATGTCAGGTAGATGGGCAGAAGTTAAGCAGCCACTGCAGAAGTCACTAGAGACAGCACTCTACCTCAGTGTTCAACGTCACAATCCCTCTGGCACTGTTGGGGCTTCGCTGGCCATGTTTGAGCAGGGAACACCACCATTCAGAAGTCATGTAGAGGAGGAGGATGCCAATTTTTCAGCTCCACTTTTGTACTAATTCTGGTGAGATAAACATGCACATCTTTTTTTTTTTTTTAAACCCCTGAATCCAGCACCTTTTGTGCTTCAAAGTAAAGGCAGTGATGAAATCCAGATTCCTTCACACTGCTGTTATGGCTGTATGAAATCTGCTTGTCTAAGGAAAACTAGAGATGAATTTACTTTGCCTATTTAATATTCCCGTTGTCTGTTTCTCCATATCTTGAGTCCTTTGATGAAAGGGCTTGCCCCACCCCTTTTTAAAGAACTTCTGTCTCTTGTTTTTCATTGAGGCATTGATTACACTTTTAAATATATAATACCTGCAGAAAGAAAACAATAGTGTCAGATGAAGGTTTATTCAACTTGCTACCAAACCCTTAGACACGGAGCTGCATATAGTTTGTAAGATTCTTTCAAACTTGTAACTTAAGCAAGTGTAGAGATCACCTATTTTTTTAAAAAGTGGGTGTGGCCAATATATCACAACTTCACTTGCTACTTTTCCATATGCTCTAGGGTAACTACTGTTCATTTAAAGGGGACCTAAGGGTGTTGATGTTGACATGGTGTGTTGGTTGGAGCTGATCTAAAGTGACAAAGCCAACAGTCCATGTATTGTCATGCTGAAATTGGGGGACCACCAGAACTTTTCATCTTTCAGCATCGTGAGTTCGATGGCCTCAACTCTACAAATCCCACTTTTTCTTATTTAAGTCAAGGAGAAATGGCCATCTGATGACTTGGAAGAATGTCTTGAGTCCAAGAAACAGCAGAACTGTAAAGCTGAGCCCTTGTCCACCTGTTATCCCACAGCAACCCACTAGAAGAGCTGACATGGCCCCAGAGCCATGTCATCTCAAGAGAATGTGTGAAGCACGAGGGCATCACACCTCACTTCAGGCTGGAGGCATCAGGCTCAGCCCTCCGCCTTGCCTCTCAGCCTGTGAGAGCACGCTCTGTGAGCACGTGGAGCCTCGGGGCCGCCCGCGCACCCTCCCTCCAGATGTAGTCCAGGCCCAGATGGGCCCGCGCAGGGATCCCCAGCACAGCCACCTGACTGATTGTCGGAGCGTGCTGCGGCCCGCTGCTTGTGCCTCCGCCGGCGGCGCTGCGGCCAGGGGAAGGGAAGGGAAGGGAAGGGAAGGCACCCAGGAGCGCACTGCGGCCATTATCCACGGCGCCTCCTAGCGGCTCAATGGGGAAGCCTCCAAGTTCTCGCGAGAGCTCCCCAGAGTGGGGGTTATATAATCTCCCCAGGCTAGGTTGGGGGTGCTGAAGGCACCCTCCGGCGGGAGCAGTGGGGGTCGGCGCGGCGCGCGGCCGGAGAGCGGTCCCCCGAGGGTCCCGGTGCAGGGGGCCTGGCCCCCCGCCCCCCCAGGAGCTGGACAATGAGTCCTCTTATGCTAATGAGGGGCTTACGTCACTTCCGCTCTTTCTCGGCCGCCATTTTGGCTAGGGCAGGTTCGGGGACTCGCTCTGAGGCGCTTGTATTGTCTGCTGAGGGGAGACGCGGG